TAGACATTATTAACTCGGTAAGCTTTTAAATTAGTTACTCCTCATTATTAACTCAAGTTAAGCTAATCAGATTTGTAACCTTGATTAGAAAAGGCAGGAGGGGGTTGGATGAATCTCGAGATAAACATAAGTAGCTAGCTAGGATTCTAATATATATAGATGCACAAAAATGTATCACCGCTCATATTTTAAGCTGTACGGAGTATTTTGAATTTCTATGCCCTACCGACTAGGAGATTACTATGCAGATAGTTTGAGTATAAGCAATTCTAATAGTACGCATGAGATTTGTTAAATAGAAAACTTAAGAAATTAAACAAACTTGATTATACGTCATAGTCTGAATTTTAAATAGAAAATTAAAATCGATACAGAGGTGCATACTACTATTTTTACTATCAGAATAAACAGAGAAACCCAAGCCTACTCAATCAAATAAACAAAACAAATAAAAAATTAAAAAAGAATCATTCCAGAACAAGGATAGGTAGAAGAGGATCGGAGCTACCGAGCTAGACAGAAGACCGAAAGTCACTTCTGAAATGTTACTAACGATTTCATTTCGAGTGCGCCTACATCTAAATGAGAAATTTAAAGAAAAAAGTGTCAATTAGGTCCACCTACTTTAGGCAAAAAGTCAATTGAGTCCATCTACTAATTTTTCAACCAATTGAGTCCACATTGTTTAAAAGAAGAGTCAAATCTTCCTTTTAGCCGGTAGCATGCGGGTTAGCACATTTCCCGCTTATGTGGCATCTGACGTGGAAGATGAATAAAAATTATTAAAAAACCTCTCAGCCCTTAACTAAACCTAATAGACGTTTACACTAAATTAAAATTTAGGGAATCGGTCTTCTCTTTGTTAGAGTTTGCAGACGCTGAAGGAATGGCAGTCTCATTTTCTTGAATCGCAAGTGTAAGCCGGAATTGGAAGTTACCAAACGTTTGGAAGAAGAATAATTCCATGTAAGTTGGTAGGGTTGTAGGTTAAGACGATTCCTTTGTTTTAGCATTGTGTTCTCTTTTTTACAGAATGTTTGATAAAGTTGAGCTAATAATTCACATGGTGGGAACTTTGTGAGTGTGCCTCAAAGTATGTACATTGGTGGACAAGTGAGTTGTATCCCAATAGATCCGGACTTGATATGTTATCCTCATTTAATGAAGTTCTTACAGTTCGGAAGCTATGGTAATATTAAAGGATTGTTTTTTGAAGCACCCAGTGTTCTTATGGATGACCTGAAGCCCCTGTTTGATGATGCATCCACAATTCAGCTGATACATATGGCTACTACTTGTGGGCAGTGTGAGATATATGTGGAGCATGGTTTGGATGAGTGTGATTTGGTTCTCCCTTTACCCGGACCTAATGATGAGGGCCTTATAAAAGAGGTGGAAGGAGATATACAAGGTGAAATCCAGGAAGAAGAATCAATGCAGACCAATGTCAAACAAAGTGAGACTCAATGCAGACCAATGTCAAACAAAGTGAGACACGCAGACAACCTGATGAGTTTTATGAAGTGCATATTGAGGCTGATGAATGCACATCAGAGGAACAAAGCCACTCCAGTATGGAAGAAAATGATGAACATGAACAAGAAGAAGAAAAATGTGCAAGTGATCAGGGTGTGACATCTGATGAAGACACAGAAGTGGAAGACATCTTCAATGATATGCAAGGTGGGTCAGATAGAAGGAATAAAGCCCCACAACAAAATGAACCACAAATAGATGATGAGGATGAAGACACAGAAGTAGATGGCTTGTTCAATGATGTGCAAGCTGGGTCAGATAGAAGGCATCAAGGACCAGAAGATAATGACCCAAAAATAGATGATGAGGATGAAGACAGTGTATAATATGATTCTTCTAACCCAAGAAGCTACGCTTATGATCAAGAAATAGATGAGAATCCGTCTACAGGGCCACATATGGTGCACAAATCCTATAACCCTGAGTCAGAACCTCCTCTAATTGAGGTGGCAATGCTATTATAAGGTATGATGTGTTTCACAAAAGAGATGTGCGTTTTGTGAAAAATACAATAGATAGAGTTAGGATAAAATGTGCCCAACATGCCTTTATAATTGTACTGCTATTTGGGAACCTAGGATGAAGTGCTTTCAAGTTAAGGCCCTTGAATCAAAACATTTATGCAATTTGAGGTTCAAGCTAAGAATAGTCAGTGAGAAATGGATAGCTGAAAAATATGAAGAGAAGGTACTTGAAAACCCAAGCATGGGTGCAGTAGAGCTGAAGGGACTTATTAAGAGTGAGCTGAAAATTCATGTTTCTGGTAGTATGGCTGCAAGGGCTTTGAGGGACATACCGAAAAAACACAAAGGGATTTTAAAGATCAATTTAAAAACTGAGGAATTATGCAGAGGAATGTTTGAGGTCCATTCCAGGCTCAGCTGTAAAGATTCACAGAGTCAGAGTTGTCCCATAAGCTCCCTCAGTTTTTCAACGCATTTATATGTGTTTTGGGCCAGTCAAACGAGGATTTATTGAAGATTGTAGGAAAGTAATAGGGTTGGATGAATGCTTCTTGAAAGGTCAACTAAAGGGTGAGATATTAACTGCAGTTGGGAGGGATGTGAATAATCAGATGTACCCCATATCGTGGGCTGTTGTTGAAATTGAAAACAACTCCTCATGGACCTGGTTTCTAGACCTATTGAAGACACACTTGGAGATTACTAGCCCACACTTATGGACTCTAATTAATGATCAACAAAAGGTAATTAACAATTTGGATATTACTACCCCACACTAGTACTTTCATTATTTTCTTTCCATACATTGAAATAGCATATTATGTTCTATAAGTAATATATACTGTCAAATAGCATACATATAGACTGCCAAAGACTATAACATACATTGTAAACTTATAATGTATATTCAAGTATATCATGCAGGGTCTGTGTAATGTGATTGCAAATATCTTCCCGGAAACTGAGCACAGGAACTGTGCTAGGCACGTACATGCAAATTGGAGCAAATCACATAGGGGGATGATGTTCAGAAAATTCTTTTGGAAGTGTGCGAAGTCCACATGTGAAGTGCAGGTGCTGGATGCATTAGAAGAAGTAGACAAGGCGGATGCTGAAGCTAGTAAGGACTTAAGGAAATACCCATTGAAGTTATGGTGTGAGGCCTATTTTAGAACTGAAGTTAAGTGTGATACAGTAGATAACAACCTATCTGAGGCTTTCAATAGCAGCCTACTGAAATGTAGAAGTAAGCCACTGATTCCCATGCTTGAGGATATCAGAGTTGGTATGATGAAAAGAATAGCAAAGAAAAGGAAATATGTGGAAAGGTGGTCTCGTATGAAATTTTTAATTCCAAATTTTAATCATTCTGTACCATGTATGGACTTGTAAACCCGTTTCACTTATATATTTCTTGCTAGGGAAATTTGGACCTATGATTATGCAGAAGCTAAATAGGAATGTTTTAGCAAGCCAAGGTTGGCATGTTATGTTGACTTCAATGGTGATGATTGTTACGAGATAAAAAAGGGAAGACAACAGTTCAAGGTGAGCCTGAATAGAAGAACATGCTCTTGCAGAAGATGGGATCTCAGTGGTGTTCCTTGTGCTCATGCCATCTGTGCCATATTGGATAAAGGAGACCTTCCAGAAGACTATGTGCACAATTGGTACTCCAAAGAGCTATATAAGAAGACTTATTCTTATACCTTGCAACCAATAAATGGAGAGCTCTTATGGCCTAGAACAGAACATGAAGAAATGATGCCTCATTTACAAAGAAAGATGACTGGCAGGCCCAAAAAAGAGGATAAGAGAGAAAAGTGAACGACCTACTTCGGGTACAAAACTGAGTAGAAAAGGAAGGATCATGACATGCTCCAATTGTCATGTAGAAGGTCACAACAAATCTTCTTGTACAAACAACACCACAGCTAGGGAACCCAGAGGGAGAGGGAGAGGGAGAGGAGGTGGTACTGATTCAGCTGTGTCAGGGGGTGTGAATGACCAATCTAGAGGAAGGAGGAAAAATTTAGGGCGTGGAGGCCAAAAGGGGGGAGGAAGAGGAACAAATGAGGCTTCTGCAAGTCAGAGTGAAGTTGTTGGCCATGGAACAAGTGAAAGAGGAAGAGGGAGTAGGTTGAGAGGGAGGGGGAGAGGGAGAGGGCAAAGGGCTCGAAGACAGACATGTTTAGGGGTTTACTTTGATGCTAGCACTGGTGAAACATTGGTGGATGTAAGTGAATACTACCAGATCTGTAAAATTTAAAAGAAATTACACATTTAGAAGCACTTACTCTTTTTTTGGCACTTGTTTGCAGCCAGGACAGCCAAGTGAAAGACTTGTTGGAGGAACTCCATGAAATGGTAGAGATGAAGTGAAGTGCTGAAGTGTGTGTGTGGATGCGTGAAGAAGATAAAAAGTGTGTGTGTAGCCCATGTGTTGTTGTCCTTTTTGTGTCCTTTAAAGTGGGTTGTTGTGACCTTTAAAGTAGCCTTTATGGTTTTTTGTTGTTTTATGGATGTAAGGCCAGATTCAAAGTTGGGAGTGGGGCATTACAACACCCTTTTTATTCCTGGACATGATGTTTTTTGTTGGGATGCTATATTTGGTTTATGTTTACATTACAGAACCCTTTTAATCATGGTTCCTAATTGCAGTGTTGTGTTTGTGTTATTGAAATCTGTTGTACACAGCTTCTCTGGTCTATTATTCTATGGTCCCTATTTACATCTTGTTTAATATGCACGTCAATTTATATTCTGCATTCATCTTCACAAAAGAATACACATCTGATCCATTTGAAAAACAGGGGAGTCCATCAATTAATACTCTTGCATTATTACACAATGTTTCAACTACATCCAGTACACAAGCCAACTACTTTTTCCAGTAAACTTCATACATAGTACTCAACTTACAAAAAACCATTCCCAGTACAATGCATTATTACATAACGTTTCTCACTACATAGTACTCAACTTATAAAAAACCATTCCCAGTAAACCAACTACTATAATCAAACCAATTCCACAAAGGTTCCTAAAGATTTTGGTATCCTTTGCATCTGCTTGAAGTACCCTTCTCACACCATTCACTTGGCCTTGTAGAACACTTAATTGTTCACCAACACTTGAAACCATGAACATCAAATCATCTTCATTTTCATTCATCCCTGCAACGTTGGCCACCCCTCTACTTTCCATACTATCCGCCCAGGCAAAATAACCACACCCATGAACCTATTCAGTGTTAACCAAATGCATCATAATAGCACTTACTATCAGCTTATACACCCATATTGAAAATTAATTAAACTTAACAATTACCTTCCATTTTTGACACCCATAGAACTTACTCCCACTCTGTCTCGAAACACAAAGGGGAGCTTTCAGTCCACAGAAGCAATACACTGGTGGCTCGCAATCGAGAGTGAAGTTATGTCCTCTTCTCGTACTGGAAGTCGATGATGATGCAGCAGCCATTTTCGTTCTAGAGATAAGAAGATAAGAACTAAATGGCCAAGGTTCTTTCTAAAATAGTCACAGATGAACTTCACTCCTTTCATTTGTTAGGCTGACAAGGAGAGGTTTTTTTTAATAATTTTTATTCATCTGCCACGTCAGATGCCACACAAGCGGGAAATGGGCTAACCTGTGTGCTACCGGCTAAAAGGCATATTTGACCCTTCTTTTAAACAATGTGGACTCAATTGGTTGGAAAATTAGTAGATGGACTCAATTGACTTTTTGCCTAAAGTAGGTGGACCTATTTGACACTTTTATTAAAAGTGAAAGGAGACATGTGCAACTGAAAACCATTAATTATAAAATACACTACAAAATTAGAAAAATAAAATCAAAAGTAGTAGTTTTTTATTTGCAACAAAAATCAAATGTAGTACTCCGTAATAGATAAATCAAATGGCAATGTGCTATTACGAAATTGTTAATATAAAATTGGTGGATGATAAACCTATTTCCTTTGAGAAATACCTGGGTTGAACCTCAAATACGTAATTATGTAGTATATGCTTTCTTCCTTACCATAAGATTTAAAAAACCCGTTAAAATTTACATGTTTTTTAAAGAAAAATTTAGATGTTTTACTCGATAAGAATGTTAAAATAAGATATGATGATTAAACACTTCAAGGAAACATATCTCTTTTCATATACATGGAGTATAGTAATATTATCGAGAAAACCTATTCCAAAATAAGAAAAATAAAAATATACGTAGTGGATATATGATCACTCTGTCTGGGAAGATGAGAGTTGGCAGAAGATGAGTCGATTCCATCAGAGAAATTTTCAGAAAAGATGTGGTGGAGTCTCCAATAATTTGAAAAACAACTTAGAAAGATGTGTAAAACTAACTTGATTTAACTGAGTGTGGTGTTAAAATAAGAATCTGATTAATAATTATCATTTTCTGAACTGAAAAAAATTAAAAAGTGAACAGCGGGCGGCCGAAGAATTTAGAAGTAATGGAGGAGTATGCTGATAGGATCGTAGGAGAGAAGGCAAGTGTCCAGCGGAATATGAATAGACTTTTTTTTGAATTTCCTTAGTCCGTTTGAGAAATGGGCAGAGAGATTTATGAATCGACTTCTTTATGCAACCTAAAGCGGTGAGCATAGTGGATGCAAAATTTTCTATAGCATAGTAGTCTTATTTTGGAATTCCTGCAACTGCGAGTTGGCATTCGAACCTCTGTAGCATAGTAACCTCTCACAGCATAGTAATCTTTGATGGTCCCAGATAGAGGTAAAAGTCTAGAGGGAGGGAGGGGTGAATAAACTTTTAAAGATTTTTCAACTTTAAAAACTTTTCCCTGCTAGGTAGGATGATCTATAATCTTTTGAAATATTGTAGATGCACAACTGAAGTCTTGACCTCTAAATAAGCTTTGTATAATAACGTTCTATGTCTGAGTGGAATTTGGACTTATTTAGGTGAGCAGTTGACTGGGCAGTTGAGTGGACTGCAGGGAACTACTGAGGCAACTGCTAAAGGAAAGTGGGAGTTTGGGAAAGATGATTATATAGTCTTATTCAGAATGGTGAGAGCTTTCTAAAGATGCACTGAGCTGGATTGAAGTAGGAGTTTTAGGAGAGCAGTGGTCTAAGCAGTTGGGTGGTCACCAGGGACCTGCTGAGTTATGGGATGATTTTCTGAGAAGAACTTCTTGGTAATGAACTGATTAAAGTCTTATGATGTTGGGAGTGTCTCAAGAAAGGAATGTGTATGAGCAGTGGGCTCAGCGGTTGGGTGGATACCAAGGAACTGCTGAGGTAACTTCTAAGTTTGAAAGAAGTGTTTCTGAGATTTGGTAGAACAGACCTTTTTATAGTGATGTTAAGAGGCTTTTTGCGAAAATGTAGTCTCAAAGAAAGTAAGTAATTAAGCAATAGGATAAGCAGTAAAGTCAATTGAGACTACTGCGTAGGATACTGTTGGCAAACTACGATCCTTTTGTGAGAAGTGTTGGGTGTGTGCTTTGTTGAGTGAAAGTAAGTCAACACACAGTATATCATGGTTCAGAGGTGGTGTAATCCTCCTACGTCCAGTCTCACCCTCTTTCAGATGGATTTCCACTAAAGTATTAAGCCCAATACACTTAGTGCCAATCTAGCCTTTACAACACACATGCCTAAATTGAAGGTGTTTCACAAGGAATACAACACCACTCCAAGTTACTCAATCCTTAGAATTTTCTCAATTGATCCAGTGAGGATCAAAAGGTACTCTATCTATCTATCTATCTATCGACACTTAGGACTTGATAACACAATCCTTCTAAGTGTTTACAACAATGTTTTTGTGATTTGTTACAAGAAAGTTCTAACCTCCAACTAGGAACTAAACTTCCAGAGTATGGCAATGATGATTTGTAACTTGGAAGTTTAGTGAACCAAGAGTCCAAGCAGAGAGTAAAGTTTGATCAGCACTTTCTCTTTTGCTAGATAGCTCGTATATGCTTAATGGAAGTTTTCTCTACTTAGGATGCTCAAAGCTTGGTTAGAAACTCTCGTTTCAGCCTATATTTATAGGCTTTTCTGGTGATCAATCTTATCCGTTGGTTAAGATAGATTGATCTTTAGCGTCGATTTCTTCTATTGTCTTCACGTGCTGGCACAGATCTGGACGATCTCTTTGTCTTCACTTATTGTCCGCTGAGAGATCAACATCAGTTGTACGTGCTTCATGATTCTAGGCCCCATGTACAATTTTAGCATTAAATGCCTATCAAAGTTTGTCTTCCACGATTTAGCTGCTGAAGACTCACCTCAGAGACAATTCCTTGTGTGCATCCCATGTTCCGGTCAAGTTTTGTCTTCAATCATATACATTCAATGTATATGATTTTTGAACCTATGTGACAGTTTAATTTTTGTGTGCAAATAAATTTATACTGGTAGGATTTAAATATCCTATTAAGGTAAATAAAAATTACCTTATTGGATTTTTAAATTTCCATTATAGTTTTATTAGTCTAAAAAATTATACATTTATTTGTCACTTTAATTATAATTAGAATTTGAACACTAATACTTGAATTAAATGAGACACAATGTACAAGTGTAGAGTATAGTGGCATCATCAAAATCTATTCAAAATTGGGTACTAACAATTTCCCCCTTTTTGATGATGCCAAAACTATACAACACAGGAAATAAATATTTTTATTGATTTTCAATGAGATTATTGTACATTGGTCTAAAATCTAAAGTACCATAGTTTTGAGTCACTTTCGGACTTTTGATCAAATCTACTCTTGTTGACTTCTTCTAATTTCTTCGTGGATTCTTCATTTGCTTTGGCTTCTTCTTCTTTCCTTCTACTGATTTCCATTTCCTCTTGGTACAGCTTGTTCCGTCTTCTTGTTTCAGCTGCCTTCTTGGCCGCTATTGACCTTGATGATGAGGGACCTGATGGTGTTGTCCTTTCCCCCCTTTTGGCATCATCAGCAGGGGTCTCGCCGTCCTTGAAGAGTGCTTCTATCTCTGGATCAGAATCCGGTTCTTCTTGATGTCTCCTTGTTGGATCCAAGCCATAGACCTTAATGGACAACACCTTGATATAGTTATGGATGTCCATTAGATCCGTCTTTACCTCATCCTTGACTTCAAGATCTAGGTTTTGGAGCTTCTTCTTTCTTGTATGTAGATCTTGGCCCAGCTTCTGAAAGTCGATTCCTTGCTTCCAAAATGTCTCTTGAGTTGCCTTTTGTAGGACTCTAAAGTTGTTAGCAACATTCGTTGTTATTTGCCTAAAGGCTTGAGCATGGGCGTGCTGCTTTTCTACGAACTTCTGGGAGAGCTTGAATATGGCAGGAAACTCCTTAGTCTTGAGTTGGTTGATGTACTCCTCATGCTCTTGAATTCTTTGAAGGGCCTGTTCAAGGTTAGGAGGTAAAGAAGGGAGAGAAGGTACTTAGGCAGAGGGCTCTGCTGCTTGTTGGGAGGCACCTGCTAGCTCTTGTTGCCTTAGCTCTTTTAGTGATGCTAAGATCTGGTTCTCTAGCTCTTCGTCCTTGGCTCTTATTGTTGCAAGCTCCTTGTGTACTGCTTCGATCTGAGCCAACTGCTGGGAGATTTGAATTTGAAGCTGAGCTTTTTGTTCCGAGTTGAAAACCTGCTGGATCATCAAGTTGCTCTTGATGTGGCAGTGTACTTCTGCAAACCTCATTTCCAGTAGTTTGTCAAAATGCTTTTGCATTTTGATCAATCTCTTGTGAAGCCGAACCTCAGTGTTGCTAATGAACTTGGTGGTTGCCCTTCTTTCTTGGATGAACACTTCTGCCATTGTAGGAGCTTCTTCTACACCATCGTTGAGAATTTGCTCTTTGATGTCATGAGATGTTCAGGGGTTTATTCCTCTTGATGGGGTTCCATATTGAGATCAAGAAGTTGAGCTACCTGCTGGAGGTTGGCAGTCAACTGCTCTTGAGGTGCTTTAGATGATTCTCCTCCTCCTTGAGTTTCCAACCTGGATTTCTCAAAAACTCTCCTGAGTTCCTTATCACTAGAAGAGGAGGAGTGGATGATTTGCTTACCTCTTGAACTAGGTGGTCCCTTAGGAGCATTGTCAGCATCATCATCATCATCATCATCATCATGAGTGAAGCTTTCTATGGCATCCTTGACAGTGAGCTTCTTCTTCTTCAATGCATACACTTGGTTGATCTTTAGGAGCCTTGTTGCATCTGCCATATCATCAGTACCAAGCCATTCTAACACGAAATCCTCTTCATTTATGAAGTGTGCTAAGGTCTCAGCCTGATGAAGGATCCTTGACAGCTTCCATGACCTCCATGTTTTGACCCTGGCAAGTTCGACATCTAGTTGCTCTAGAGGCGTCAGTTTGGGCGACCCCACTGCTGGAGATTGAGGGGTCTGCTCTTCTAGAGGAGCCACCTGCTCATCTAGTTGAG